CATCTTCCACAACTGCATGAGCCATTTCCTTGAGATAAATCTCTCTCTATATATATTTATATATAGTTTTCACTGGTTTTGCTCCTCTAGAGAACCCAGCCTAAGACAGTGGGTTTGTACCATCTGTTTCATTCTGAGAAGTCACTTATGACTGTTCCAAATCCAAATCTTTCCCCTTAAAATTAAAAAAAATCACTCATTTTTTTACACACTCATTTGTTTTTAATTAATAAACAGATCTATCTGCTAAATAACATCTACTTTGTTTTTCATCTGAATATATGAGGAAGACATCTGTGATTTGCAGACTTCCTGATTATGCTCACCTTATCTGAATATGCATATACTATAAAATTTGGGAAAAGGAAGAGGCTAGGGAAAGAGGATATATGGACCACAAAATGATTCTTTATGCTCAGCTCTAATTTATACAGAAAATTCTCAATTAAATTTTCAGTGGTTCTCTCAATACTGTCAGCTCTCCCTCTCTTTTTCTCCCCCTCCCTTCTTTCTTTCTACACATATACATATAAATACCAAACAAATTTAACATTATAAAACTTATTTAAAATTATGGTTCTGGGAGGCAGGACTGATATATCCTTAAAGATAAACACAGTTCTAACCGACTTATAAAAAACCTCCTAAGGAAGAAAGGGGAAGCAGTTTTTGCAGACTGTGTTGTCATGTAGACCAAGAGGCTTATATGTATAGCAGTCTGATGGAGGATACAGCAGCAAATGAAACTCAGTGTGGATCAGGCTGGGGTAATTTCATACCTGATTGCTTTCAAGTCAACAGAGAACATAATTAGTAGCTGATTTTAAAAGTATAATCTTAAAAATCCTTTATATCATTACATTATTAAAGAAATTAAATAAATTCAAGGAAAATAAATCATTCTCTTTCCAAGAAACGTGTCACTTTGCTTATTATCTATAGCCAACATGTGAAATTTAGTTATGCTTCAGAATCTTCCCTGACACAGATGCAACTTTAAAAACAAATAACAACAACGAAAAATTAAAAAGAAGCCTCCTTTCAGAAAAAATATTTACGTGAACTCACTTGGATGCTATAAATTGAGTAAAATTTCTATGTTAAAACCATTCTTGCTTTTTCCTATAAGCATTAAATAAGCTGAAGTCTCTCCCATCTTAAAACAAAATAAACTCTCCCCTAATCCCTATGTTCTACTTAATTTGCCACTTTCCTTTACCTCCCATTCACTGGGAAGCATCTTGTAATCTCAGTCAGTTTGCTGTGTCCACTTCCTCATCACTACATTGTTCTTCACCAGCCTAATATCTGGCTTCTGCCTATGCCATCACAAAAAAAAAAAAAAAAAAAACAAAAAAAACCTGCTCTAACAAAAATCACAATTGATCTTCTTCTTATTCTATCCAGTCTACTGGCTACCTTTGACAATATAGTCCATTCCCTTCCTCTTGAAATGCTATCTTTCCGTGGCTTCAGTGACACTACACTCTCCTGATTTTCAGACTACATCTCTGGCTTCTTCTCAGCTGCCTTGTGAACTCTTCTTCTGTCCTTTTCTTACATGTCAATGCTCCTCGGTATTCTGTCTCATATGCTCATGTCTTCTCTACACATTCTCCTAAAGCATCTCATCTATTACACTACTGGTTTCAATTATTATCTTTTATGCTGATGACCTTTGAATCTACATCTGAAGCTCTGCTGGGTTTCAAACTACTGACTTGATACCTCTACAAGGAAGTCTCAAATTCAACATATCCAACTCAACAGGAGAGGCTCAACATGTGAACAAATCCCCACCATTCTATCTACTTTCATCTGTAGGCTGTGTCTAAATACTCTACTTTCTCATCTGTTACTATATGTTAAAAAAATGCAGGATTGGAGAAGGCACCTGTACTAAGTACACTGCTCCAGCAATTCTCCCCACTATCTCCTGAATTATCTATTGGATGATTTCTAACCAATGACAAGCATTTTGCTATTTCTCCCATTTAAAAAAAAAAATCAAAAAACAAAAAGGAAAAAAAGCTTCTTTTAAGATCAATTTCTCCTCTAGCTACTACCCTATTTCACTGCTTGCCTTTATAATAAACCACTCCAAATAATAGTAGTTTTGTCTTATGCTGTCTGCAATTGCTCTTCTACAATACTCCCTTGATCCTACTCTAGGGTGTTTGACTCAACTCTTCCACTGAAATTGCTCTTCTTAAGGTCACCAATGACACTCATATCTCTAAACTCAATGGCCAGTATTTAGTCCTCATTCCAGTTGATTCAGACCTCACCTTATTTGACATGTTATCAGATTTGACATATTTTCTTCACTTGGCTTTCAGAACACCAAATTTGTCTGGTTTTCCTCCATATCATTCTTTTTGCTCTTTCTATATCCACTTCGCTACTTCTTCCTCATCTCCTAACTTCTAAAGATTGGACCTCTTTGCTACCTACACTTATTAAGTGATCTCATATAGTCTCACAGCTTTACATATCATGTGAGAGATAAATACTCTCAGGATTTTATCTCCAGCCCCTAAAAATCCAGGCTTGTCTAAACAACTGCCTACTTGATATCTCCAACCTGATGTCTAATGCTGTTATTGTTGTTAGGTGCCATCAAGATTCATACTTCGTACATTCCACGTTCCAATTATTATGGATGTTTGCAGCTGTTTCTTCTCATTTTGAGTTATGCCACATCAGCAAATGAAGGTCCCAAAAGCTTGACTCCATCCATGTCATTAAGGTCGACTCTACTTTGAGGAGGCAGCTCTTCCCCAGTCGTATTTTGAGTGCCTTCCAACCTGAGGGGTGCATCTTCTGGCACTATATGAGATAATGCTCTGCTGCTATTCATAAGCTTTTCACTGGCTAGTTTTTTTCAGAAGTAGACCGCCAGGTCCTTCTTCCTAGTCTGTCTTAGTCTGGAAGCTCAGCTGGTACCTGTCCACCATGGGTGAGCCTGTTGGTATTTGAATACCAGTGGCATGGCTTCCAGCATCACAGCAACATGCAAGCCCCCCTAGTATGGAAAACTGACAGACCTGAGGGAAGACGTCTGATAGGTGTCTCAAAATTAACTTGTTTGTAGTCTTCCTCTCTAAATGTTAACTATATTCTCCCAATTACTCAGGCCAAAACCTTATTATTATTCTTGATTCTTCTCTATCCCTCACATGCCACATCCGGTCTGTCAGCAAATCACATTATCCTTACCTCCACAGAATATTAGAGTTTGAACATTTCTTACTACCCCTTCTGTCATTACCCTTGGCCAAAGCCACTACCATCTTTTGCTTGGATTATTACAATAGCCTTCTAAGTGGTCTCACTGCTTTTGCTCTTACCCTCAATCAGACTATTCTCAACCTAGCAGTCAGAGTAATCTTGTTAAAACATAAGTCAGTACTTGTCACTTTTCTGTTCAAAACCCTGCAATACTTCCTTCCAATGGTTTCACTCAGAGTAAATGCCTGTGAGCTGGGTGACTCTGACTTATAAGGCCGTATATGATCTGGCCTGTTATCTCTCTGACTCACCTCTTATTATTCTCTCTCCTTAATTCACCTTCAGCTACACTGGCCTCCTTATTATTTTTTGAACAAACTTGTTCTCCATGTGAAGTGTTCTTCCCATATATCTGTATAGGCACCTCCTTCACTTTCTTTAATCTTTACTGAGAAATCACCTTCGTGACATAATTTACCCTGGCCCTTCTATATATAATTCAGCACACAACCTCATGCTTCATTAGCCATTCCCTGCTTTATTTTTTGTTTTTGGCATTCATTATTTTCTAATAGATTCTATCATTTACTTATTTTGTAGTGCCTTTCATCATAACTGAAGGAAAGCCCCATAAGGACAGGGAATTTTTGCCTATTTGTTCACTGCAATATTCCCAGGGCCTATAACAGTCCCTGGCATAAAGGCTCTAAAAATTTTCTTCTTGAATGAACGAATGAATGTACCAAATTGAACAAACTTGGATTTCCAATACCCAGTATAAGTTGAGAATGACAATAATATATACATTCAGTCACCTGAATTATAGAAACCTGAGTATCACTAATAACTTCCCCTGCTCCCTAATTTCTCACATCTGGTCATTATGTCCTCTACATTCTGTCTGCTCAGTAAACCGAAAACCCATTGCCACCGAGTCAATTCCGACTCATAGCAACCCTACAGGAAGAGCAGAATAGCTCCATAGGGTTTCTAAGACTATAATCTTTACAAAAGTAGACCGCCACATCTTTCACCCAGAGTGGCTTGTGGGTACAAACTGCCGATCTTTCAGTTAGCAGCTGAGTGCCTTAACCATTGTGTCACCAGGGCTGCTGTCTTCTCAGTAGACCTCTTGAATCCATCTACCTCTCTATCTTCTCCACCACTACTTGAGGTCTATATACCTCATCTCTCACAGCTGGGATTCCTATCTCCAGTCTGCTCCTTCCAATCCATTTTCCATACAGGAGTAAGAGTGATCGTTTACAAGTATAATCATGTCAATATCCTAAGAATAAAGTCCACATTCCTTACACTCCTTCATGATCTTGACTCTACTTTCCTTTCTAGCCTCATCTGTCACCATTTCCATCTTACTTTTTATGCTTCAAGCATAGTGAACAACTTTCATTTTCTCAATGTGCCATGTTCTTTATTTCCTTTAAGATCTAGTACATTCTGTTATCTGTGCCTAGACACTCTTCCCTCCTCAGCTATGTCTTTCTTATTCCTAAGGTCTTAGCTTAGAAATAATTTTCTTCAGGAAGCCTATGCATATCTAAGTTACATTTTGTATCTCTCTTATGTGTGTTCCTATACTTATCCTATTTGCTTCCCTACCATACTGCACTGTAATTTTCTATTTACTAATCTTGACTTTGGTCTCCTTGAGGGCTGGATGTGTTTTATTTTCTAAGTATCTCCAGTACCCGACACATAAGGGGTACTCAATAAGTATTTAATGTATGAGCAAATAGCTTGATTCTTACCTCTCTCTCCTGGTCTTTTCCAATTTGTCTTTCAAAACCATAATTTCTTTGTTGAGAGCAAGTTGCTGGCCTTCTGAATCATGCAGCTCTTTCTTCAGATTTTTAATTTCATTTGCATGTATTCCTTCTCTTTTAGATAATTCTTCTTCATAAAAAATGCTTTTCTTTTCAAAATCAGTCTTTAGTTTGGTTATCTCTTGCTGATGTTCTATGCTGCACACTCCTGGTGAATAACTAATTTGTTTTTGCTAAAAAGTAATAACAAAAGATTAGTTCATCTATAAGAATAATAAAATACTAAATAATAACTCCTTTCTGTAATATAAAAAGGACTGTTCATATAAAAATATTATTTTTATGAATTATTACATAATACTGTTTCTATATTAAAGTTATTAACCTTTTATCTGCCATATGTTGCAAATATTTTTCTCAGCATATTTTCCTTTATGATCTATGCCTTTTGTTATATTTTAAAAGTCTTCTTCAAATCAAGATTATATATTTACCTGTATTTTCTGCTCGTACTTATATGATTCCTTATTTTACATTTAAATTTCTAATTTATTTGGAATTATTGTTGGTGTAGACACAAAAACCCAAACTCATTACCGCTGAGTCGATTTGGACTCATAGCGACCCTACAGGACAGAGTAGAACTGCCCCATAGGGTTTACAAGGAATGGCTGGTGGATTCGAACTGCTGACCTTTTGGTTAGCAGCTGAGCTCTTAACCATTACGCCACCAGGGCTCCGCTGGTGTACAGACTAAGTGAAAAATCTATCCTATATGTGATGAGGAACAATGAAAGCTTTTTAAGCACGTTTGTAAAAGATTAAATTGGGGGATAGGATGGTAGAGGGAGAATGTACAAAAAAGAGGGGCTTTTGCAATAGTTCAGGGAAAAATGACAAAGATCTAAACTACCATCTCCTTCACATGCACGCCAGAAAAAATGATAAGTCTCTTGCTTTCAGGTAGGGCATCTAAGAAGGAGGAGAAATTTGGTTGAAATCCACCTTTTCTGAAATTAGTTTCAAATATATTCTTAAGAATAAAGAAGAAAACAAAGTCCAAAGATTCTGGCTAAAGGGTAAAAAGAAACATACAGACTGGGGATTACGACTGAAATTTCTTCAGCATTGTAACTTTCCTAAGTTCATTGTTTTGTTATACTCTATTTTCCCCAGGTGATCAGCAATAAAACTTTTAAAATTAAAAGAACCTACGGGGTTTTGTTTATTGACAACAAGGAATCAGGAGCTAGAGGACTTTGTGTCCTTTTCTAAAGACAGTCTTTAGGGGCAGAAAAACTGGTAACGGTAGCTGACTTAAAGTAGAAAGAAAAATATGCTGGCTTTTACACATTTAAAGTCTATAATTTAAAAAAAAATGAAGGTATCAATGTAGGCCACAAAGATGGCTCTGGGGTGTCCATTATTTAATTAGGTGCCCAAATACTCAACCACTTGTTCAAAAAATATTTATGAAGTACCTACCAGGTGCCAGACCCAGATTGTCCAGTGGTTTCTGAGGCATCCTGGCATGAAAAGCTCTGCTTATACTGGGATGAACCAGAGCAGTCATATTCTTTCTCTTAGACATCTCTATGAGAATGATGCCTCACTCTGCATCAGCAGCTCCCACCTCTCGTCTATACTACTCTTTCGTTTTCCTAATCACCTTAAGGACTTTTAGTTTGTTGTCCTGTTTACTTTAGTTTAGCTACCTAGATAGCTGCAACATGTACTAGAAAAGCTACAAGCAAGAATTATTCTGAAATCAAAACCTTAGAAAGATACAAGCAAAAAATTTATAGACTCATCACTCATTGATAAGGATATAAAAAGCAAAATAAAATATTGATAGACAAAATTAAACCACTACAAAATGATAGCGTTTACTGCATGCACTGAAGCTAATTTAATCTTATCAAACTTATTAAAAACCTATATAATAAAGTGCATTATTTTAAAGATTAAATTAAAAAAAAAATTGATAATCTCAGTAGGTACTCCCACTTAAAAGTACTTGATAAAATCCAATACCACTTCCAAATACTACCCCAAGTAAAACCACAAAAAAAGACTACAGTGTTTTTTCTAACTTAAAAAGTATCAATTTCAAGCTAACAGACAAAATAATAATGGTGAAACATCAAAAGTACATACAATAAAGTCAGGAATAATATCAACAAAAAGGATGTCTTCTACTACCACTTTAACTTAGTATTAGTTTTAGATAGTTGTCTGACCAAGTAACATGTGAAATAGTTAAAAGAAATGAATATGAAAAGACAAGTAATAATAACATTATTATTTCCATTTAATATAATTGTTCACCCAGAAAATCCAAACGGATGTACTGAAAAGCATTAGAATTGACCGGGTTCATTAAAACAATAGCATATAAGATAAAAACAAATCAAGAATATATTTAGATATTAGGATAAACAATGAGAAAACATAAAAGGAGAAGATTTCATTGTTAACAGCCAAAACAAACAAAACCATCATGTAATAATACACACATATGAGGAATTCTAATAGTGAGAAATCTGTCTGATTTATATGAAGAAAACCACAAACATTTATAAAAGACAAAAAAGACTTGAAACAATGTGGAAAAATACCAAATATTTGAATGGGAAAGTTAAATGTAGATGTATTCAATTTTTCTCATATTATCTTCCATATAATTCTAATTAATATTTAAAAAACAAAAAACACAACTCTGTGTGTGTGTGGAAATGGAAACATATGCTTCTAGTCCATAGGCAAGTATAAACTAGTAAAATACCAAAGAAGTCTTAAAAGACAAGGACAGTAAAGAGGGGAAGGAGAGGAGTCTTTTCAGATATTAAAAGATACTCTAAGCCTTTAAAAGTTAAAGTATCACTGTACTAGGATGAGGAAATGGAAACATATTAATGACCAAACAGAACTCCCCAAATTAATAATTTAATTCAGTATATAAGGCATCATCAATCAATGGGAAAGGCAGTGATCAATTAATAAATGCAACTAGAACCACCACCTAGTAATAAAAGAAAAAAAAAAAAGATTCTCACATTATGCCAGTTAGCAAAACAAATTCCAAATGGATTAAATATTTTTAAACCCCATAGATATATCCAGAAGAAAGCAGAATTAAATACTTATCAAAACTCTGAAAAGAGAGGAACAAGCCAAGCTTTGAAGCAATAGAAGAAAACACTGAGGAAAAGATAAACAAATCTGTAATTTTAAAAAGAAAGAAGACCAAAATAAGGCAAAGTGATAAATTAGTAAAATAGTTGCTGAAAATATAAATAGAATTTTTACTTTGTAGAGTTTATATAAACTGATAATAACATTAAGACTACAATATTTAATGGGCAAGTAACAAGTAATTCACAAAAAAGAAAATATGATTAATAAACAATCTACGAAGAAACCAAGAAATGTAAAAAAGCAGATAGTCTTTGTCCTATCATATTTGCAAAGGTTTGTGGCATGTAACAAGCACCTCACAGTGATCTGACAGTTTCATTTCTAGGTATCTGTTCCATGGAAATGATACAGGAAAAGAAGGATATAAAGGTGTTCATGGCAATTATAATACACACACATTCTACTACTACAAAATATTTAGTAGTAGAGAATCAACTAAGTGGATACTCTTCTTGGACTATTTACAGTCATTAAATAATGTTTGTGACAATTTTGTAATAAAAAAAAAAATCAAACCTGTTGTTGTTGAGTCGATTCTGACTCATAGCGACCTATACAACAGAGTAAAACTGCCCCACAGGGCTTCCAAGGAGCAGCCTGGTGGATTAGAAATGCCTAACTTTTGGTTAGCAGCCACAGCTCTTAACCACTGAGCCACTAGGGCTCCAATTTTGTAATAACAGGTGAAAATGCTTATAGTACATTGCTAAGTGAAAAATACATGGTAAAAACTCTTATCTGATCAAAACCACTGAAAAGTATTCTTACTGGAGTAAAGATTGGCATAACCTTCTAAGAGGGCCAAAATATGATTAAAAATTTTATGTGTGTACATCTTTTGACAAAGAAATCACACTTCTAGAAAATTATCCTAAGGAAATTATAGGATGATAATTAATCACAGTTTACACATATTGATCCTATATTATGTGCCAGGTCCTTGGCTAAGCACTTTAAATGCATTAACTTATTTATTAAGGAGCCCTGATGGTGTCATGGTTAAGTGCTTGCTGTTAACTGAAAGGCTGGAGGTTCAAACCCATGCAGTGGCTCTGTGGGATAAAGACCTGGTGATCTGCTCCCGTAAAGATTACAGAAAACTCTATGGGCAGTTCTACTCTGTCACATGAGGTCACTGTGAGTCAAAAATTGACTTGATGGCACCTAACAATAACAACACCATTTACTGACTAGTTTATTATCCCAAATTTATAAATGACCAAGAGATTAAGTGACTTTGACAAGTATGTAAATATATGTGCTTGAAAGTTTTCACCGTGGCAGCGTTTATTATAGCAAAAAATAAAGAGCAAACTACTAGACAGAACATGACGCTGAGAATGAGAAACTTGGGTTTAAGTTGTTCTCTGCTACTTCTGGTTACAAAATCCTAACCTCTCTGGTCTCGACTTCCTCAAATGTAAATAATTTCTAAAACTTCTTCCAGTTTGTACTTCATGCTTGTGTTTTATTGCCCAAAGCACCTGAAAACAGAGTAGGCCCTGACTGAAAATTACTCAAGACTGTAATACAGTGACTGCTCTAGAAACATGTTGTCATTAGGCGCCATACAGAATTGTCAGATAAAAAGTTAGGCTCTGATCAATTTTACCACAACCTTCATTCACTGATTTAACAAATATACTGAATAACTATTAAATATCTGGCCCTGTGCCAAGTTAATAATATCCCTGTCTCTTTTTTCATTAAGCTAGCTCACAGTTTAGGTGGGGAGATAGGTGTGTTAATAAATAATTATAGTAAGAGTGATGCTAGACATATCAACAGAATTTTAAATCAGCACAGGAACAGGAGTACCTAGACTTTCTGAGATGATACTCAAGTTGTTTCTTATATTTGCTAGATGAATATGACCCTAGACTAGGCATAGTTATGCAAGCAGTGGGTGGAAGTGGGAGCTGGCAGGAAATACAGAGGAAACAGGATGTGCAAGGGTTCTAGAGTCAAGAAAAAGCAAACACCATATTCAGACACCATATTCATTTAATGCTGTGGAAGTATGTCAATTTAATCCTAATTCTCTCACTTTGACATACATGATATCATTATAGCTAATAATTTATGAGCACTCATGATGTGTTAGTTTACGTGTGAATGTATGTATTTCTAACAGAAAACCAATGAGATAGTTTTACAGATGAGATAATTAAGGCATAAAGAGTTTAAATGATTTGTCCAGCATCACACAGCTAGTAACTGGTGAAGCTAGGAGTCAAAAACAGGCAGTCTGACACCAGAGCGGGTACAAGAATTTCCCTTCCATAGCAATTTCTCCTGAAATGTGTCAGCCCCTGCCCACTGTCACCTCATTCCAACACAAGTGTCTGCAATGCCACAAATGAGCCTCTCCTAAGTCATCTACAAGATAGAGGGTCTGGATCTCTATCCCCTCCTCCCAGGCAGATTCCCAGTACATCTTTCTAAGGTAGGCATCCCTTCATAACTATTTTAACTCCTTCCTGACAGATTTCTTCTCTGCACTAAACATATCTTCCTTTTCCTCCCAGCATAATTAGGCATTCTCTGTTAGCCTCCTGAGGGAGCGCTGGTGGCGCAGTGGTTAAGTGCTTGGCTGATAACTGAAAGGTTGGCAGTTCGAATCTACCAGCCACTCCATGGAAGAAAGATGTGGCAATCTGCTTCCATAAAATTTAAAGCATTGAAAACCCTATGGGGTAGTTCTACTGTCCTATAGGGTCGCTATGAGTCGGAATTGACTCAATGGCAATGAGCTTTTTGTTTTTTATCAGCCTCCTATTGATAAGAATGAGGAGTAAGTAACAACACGAGGTTTGAAAGGATATCTAGTTTTCACTCTACACTGAGGAGAGCACATAAGCTCCTATCAGGCCTAAAGAGAAGAAAATTAAACTTCACAAATCTGAAATCAAAAGATACCTTCAATCCCTCCAATTCATTTTCCAGTTGCTTAGAATAGTGCTCGCTCTGTTCACGCAGTTTTCTGTCTTTAGATGCTTCAGCAGTTAGAGCTTCTGTATGAACTTCCAGCTTTAAAATAAAATGAAAAAAGTAGATTTCACGATTATAATTGCTTTCCAAACAAAATAGTGTTTTTCCCAATGGAAATTTACCTTGTAATAGGAAGAGAACTCAAATGTTGAAATTCATATTACATAATATTATCAAACTAAAAAAAAACTATTTTTCAAAAATTAAAGAATGAAATATATATTATTTCACTAGTCTGAAAAAGCAGCTTTAATCGCTACAAAATTTGCCTGACTACTAACCTCTTTTTTGGCTCTTTCTGTTCTGCGCAGTTCTTGCCTTAAGCTTTCAACTTTTTGCATCACCAGGTCCACCTCTTCTTCCTTATCTCGGACATGGCGAGCAAGTTTCTGTTTTTGGGTGTGCAATTCTGTTAGTCGCTCATTGATCTCCATGAATTCCTGCATGGCCAGTTTCCTCTGGCAGTGTGCGTCTTTCAGCTCTTTGGATTGGTTTTTTAATCGCTCACTAGCCTGGACTAGTTCCTACAGTTTTGTAAAAAGAATATAAGTTACCAATTCTGCAAGCTAGAGACCAAATTTGGTCACCAAATTGGCTATTATGAAGTCAAGGAGAGCCAAAATTATTTACCTCAAGACAAAATGAAACAAACTACTTTAAAACAAATATTTAGGGCACAGTGCCCTGTTTATATTCTCAATTCCTTACACTAACATGCTAAATGAGATGGAGCAGCTGATTTAGCCTTCTAGTGCCTTAGTTTCTACAAGTAAATAAGGATTGTAGGAATATATACAGTCAAAATACAAATGTTGTTAAATTTAATGGATATCTGTGAGTGTTTTGTTTTTTTTTTTTTAAATTACACTGAATGATTACAAATGATAAAAGCAAGGGTTGCTCCTGATATGGGTATGGACCAGCAGCAAAAACAGAAAGCTAAACCTGAAATTCCCAAACTGCACTGAGAAACTTAGAGGAAGTATAAGTGGACTCAGGTCAGTAGAACCACCTTTTTACAGCAGCAGAAAATGCAAATCTTCATTGGAGGAAAAGAGACTCAATGAAATTCAGATTTTTTCACACATGAAGAGCAAGCAAATATAAGCTCACAATAAAATATTCCCAAACATCAAAAGAACAAACCACCATAACAAGCTACAGAAACAACAAACAATAGAAATAAACCCCAAAGGTATTCGGGTATTAAAATGATCAGATACAGGCATAAAATTTCTATGTATGAAATGTGTAAAGAAATGAAAGAGGAAACCATAAAAATGGGAAAACGACCAAAAAAAGAGAAAAAACTAAATAAAATGACCAGGCAAATTTGTTAAAGAACTTTATGGAACTTTAAGAAATAAAAAATATATACTTGTTAAAATTAAAGACATAAATCTACCAATACAGGAAACTCTACATTTATGAAGCAAGAAAAATGAAAATAAACCCAACCTAAAAACACCAGGAAAATCTTAAAAGAAACCAGTAAAAAAATAAAAATTACCTCCTTTCCCCAAGAAAAACAAAAGATAATTAGAATCAGAACAGACGCCTAAGAAACAACAATGGAAATAGAGACAGTAAAAAATATTTTCAAATAGATGAAAAAATAAGGTATATTGTATACCCAGAAAAATTACTTTCCAAGTATGAGGCTAAAATAATGACAGCTTCATATAAAAAAAAATAACAGAGCATACCACAATCAGATATGCACTAAAAGAACCTCTAAAGTTTTATTTCAGGAAAAAGAAAAATGATTTTAGAAGGAAGCTCTGATATGTGTGCTAACAAAAATTTAAACACAGGCATTTGAAGCAGGCTCTCAGTAAAGAGTTAACATGAACCACTCTTGGGCAACAAGGGAGGGAACAAAGGAGAAGTGGTTGTTCTGGGAAAATATGTACAAAGAACATTCCAGGAATCATGTAATGAAAATGTTCTCAAAAATCACTTACCCAAACTATTATCGAGAAATGTTTGTCGGAAAACAGATTAACCAAATGAAGAAAGAATTTTTTTTTTTTTTTTTGAAATGTGTGCGGTACTGGTCACACTGAACCCTTTTTCAGAATGGCCGAGGACTATGTGCTTTGTGCTGCTCAACTCAAGTTGCTATTCCTCAATAAAACTCTTTGTTCTCAAGAATGTGCGCATTCTCGTCTAGTTGGCATGGCCTCACTAAGATAGTTTGGAAAATCAATGGACACTTTGGGGCTCTTTTGACTTACCTAAATTAGTTTTTCTGTGCAGTAAACCAGAAAATAAGGGCTCTGGATTAAACAAACTCAATGGGATGCCTATTTTGATTGGTATTTAGAGGCTTCCAAAGACATCACGATAGCAAAACTGCTTCACTGCAGGATACTGTTTCCACATTAACCAAATGAAACAAGGAGCTACAATGTCAAAACCCTGCTCCTGCACCACCTGCCCCTTTGCTGGCTGTCTCTCCTTTATACCACTTCTTACCTTCCTATTCCTCTGATAACACTCTGAGCTTCCTATTTTCCTGATAAATGAACAAAGAAAACTTTACCTGAAATGTCCTTTAAGATATATCCTATGGACACTGTGGAGTCTCCTCGTGTTGCCTTTATTCCCTGAACTCACTCAGAGTTACAAAGCGCTGTAAAGGATTTTCCAAAATCACGTGAAAGGATTTTCCAAAATTGCTGAGGAATTTAAAATCTTTATTGAAGCTTACCAACCTGGGCTCCCAGATTTGTTTCAAATAGTCTATATAACTGGATCTAGAGAAACTCAGCTATGGTCAGAACACACTGAATGGAAAGATCCCCAAAATACATTAGATTTAAACATAGATAAGACAGCCATTGAGCTGCTTGAGGATGCTCAAGCAATGGGTAAGAGATTACTTGAAGCTACTCCTAAGGCCTCTTCCCCAATAACTGATTGGACAAAAACTCATTCTTGTAAACAGAATAAAGATGAGAATGTTTATGATTATCAAAAGCAGAAAACTGCTTCAAAAGTTTTCTGAACACTCTGGTCTTACCTTATCTGCTCCGGGTGCAACTGAAGTTTTTAATACTGTTTTCGTATCTGGATTAAAACCTGAAATCTCAGCCTTGATTAAGCAGCTTTGATTGGACTGGGAAATGGCCCCCAATGTGGAATTGACTAATTTGGCCTATAAACTTTCCCAGACTCTTGAGGCTCAAGGGGACAAAAAGGCTAACAAATTGATGGCCCCCCGTTGCAACAATTACAGTCTCTAAACCAAAAGAAGAATGCCAAACCCTCTAATGGCCCCAAGGCTGGCATTTGCCACTACTGTAAGGAACCTGGTCATTGGAAAAATATTCATTACTGTCAAGTTGATTCCGACTCATAGTGACCCTATATGACAGAGTAGAACTGCTCCAAAGGGTTTCCAAGGAACGGCTGGTAGACTCAAACTGACAACCTTTTGGTTAGTAGCCAAGCTCTTAACCACTATGCCACAGGGCTCCACTGGAAAAATGAATGCTATAAATTAAAAACAAAACAAGAACTTCCCAACAAGATGTCCTTCAACCTGATATGGAATGAAGTGGTGCCAGGGACACAACAGGGACTTTTCCTATGGTGGTGCTTAACCCAAAAGGAGAAATATTTTAAACATTTATAGAGAAACTTGTCGATTTTTGACTGACACTGAAAGCACCCTATCTGCTATTAACTCCTCTTTTTTGCAAAAGCCCCTGCCCCAGAGTACAAAAACCTCAAGGGTTATGGGGGTTACCAATCAATAGCAAATACTGACTCATTCTCAACCCACTCCAATATCTCTCAGTCCTATTGAAGACTTATGCCCGTTTTTGGTTAGTCTTGATACCCCTGTCAATTTGTTGGACCGAGATCTTTTGTCTGAAAGGAACTGTCATTTGCAATTTACTGAAAAGGGGGAAATATGAAGTTTGCCCATTGTTCCAAAATTGACTGACACGGGTTTTAAATCAGAACAGATTCAAAAGTAAGAGGTTCCTTGCTGCTTGCAAGTGCTCATTATGCATAATGATGATTCAACCCAATCTAGCCCTCTTCCCCCTAATATTCTTTCATTAATTCCTGAAACTTTATGAGCCACCACGTTTACTAGTGTGGGCTGAGTTTTGTTAGCAGAACCAATCAAGGTTCAAACAGATACATCTAAACCCTTTCCAAAGATTCCTCACTATCCTCTCAAACGAGAAGCCAAGGAGGGAATAGCTCCCATTATACAAGATTTCCTCTCTAAAGGCCTGATTATCCCCTGCACTGGTCCTTGCAATGCCCTTGTTTTTCCTGTGAATAAACTAAACAATAGGGCTGGAGGTATATACAGGATTTGCCTGCCACTAACCACATGTTATTTCTAGGTTTCCAGTAGTCCCAAACCCTCATTTACTGCTTTCCAATATCCCTCAAAATGCTACCCATTTTATAGTTGTTGATCTTTGCAGTGTTTTTTTTTAGTATTCCTGTGCATCCTGAAAACCAAGAATTTTTTTGTTTTCACCTGGGAAAATAAAAAATTTACCTGGACTGTAATACCCCAGGAATTTACTGAATCTCCTACTTATTTTTCCCAAATTCTCCATAGGGCAGACTTGAAGCCTTTGCAGTTTATGAACAAATCCAAATTACTGCAATATGCTGATGTTTTATTAGTGTGCTCAACTTTCAGGAAGCTTACACTGACAATAGTGTAGCTTTGTTAAGGCATTTGACTGCTGGTGGACATGAAGTTTCCAAAGAGAAGTTTCAATTGTCCTGACCTTCTGTCAAATATTTGGGCCACATAATTTCTGCAGAAGGTATCTCTATTAACTCTAAATGAAAGTAGGCCATTTATGCTTTTCCCACCCTAGAGCAAAGAAACAGCTACAAGGGTTTTTAGGGCTTTGTAGTAAATATAGAACCTGGATTCCTAATATTTCTTTGTTGGTCCAACCCTTATATAAATATTTAAAGGCCTCTGAACCAGATTCATTTCAAATTTCACCAGAAGACCAGGAGGCTATAGATAAATTAAAAGGGGCTTTAACAGAAACACCTGGTCTAGGTTTTCCCATCACCTAGATTTTTCTTAATTTGTATATGAAGTGTCTGGAAATGCTTTAGGCACAATGACCCAATAACATGGAGGATATCAAAGACCTGTAGATTATTACATCCTGCAGCTCAACCTTATAGCTAAAGGATACCCTCCCTGTCTCTGGGCTGTAGCTGCTACAGCCAAATTAGTGGAAGCACCACAGATATAGTGTTGGGAAATTTTTTAGCTGTTTATGTGCCCCATGCTGTATTTCCATACTTAATTCTGCTTTGACACATCACCTTTCCACCAGTCAGCTCACTTCTTATGAAGTTCTCCTTCTGGCCATATCTAATGTTAGACTAAATCCAGCCATCATTCTCCCTGAAACTGACAATGATAATTACCCTATGCATAAGTGCCTAGATTTAACTGAACAACTTCGGCTTCTCAGAAAGACATGAGATTCCTTTAACTATCCTGACTTAGTTTTGT